TATGCATGTATTTACTTGTTCATTCATTTCATCAATACGGAAACCCATCTTACTGTGCACGGCCTTATAAAGCTAGGCGTGCTACACATGCATACACATACAACTGACTCACTTTCTACAGATCATGTAAAATGCTATGATTTTGAGGCTTAGGGTTTCGGAATAACAGGCAACATAACCTTGAGTTAGCTGCTAACAACCATCAAAACCAAGTATGGACTTGATTCTTAGGTTATGTTTTATGGCTAGCCGGCTGGGCGATGTAATCAGTTGATGGATGATAACTAGTACATAATTTTTTTCTGTTATAAAGGGCCCATGTGTGCGCCATTTAGGCCCCACATTGGCCCAGCAAGGGTCACCCATATGGAACCCAGGTTTTTGCCGATGACATGCCCACATGTGACCAAAGTGGACAGCCCAGGTGGGCCCCGTATGACTTTCCAACTGGGACCCATATTGGTCCCAATTATGCATGCTGGCTGGGTGATGACTAGCGCAGAATATTTCCTCCGTTATAAAGGAGTACGACCTATCCTAGCATTCGAAATGTGTTCAGAACGTGATGCACTAATATCATAAGTGTCACACACTCAGAAGCTAATGAAAATGATACATACCACGTCGGCGGCATGTAAAATTACGTTCGGCAATTGCGCGTAAAAATTCATCGACGCATATTCGACCGCTGCTCTGAGGCGAAGGCACCAAGGCCAATAGGGACGAAACCTGAGCGATCGTGAGTGCCGCAGGAGGCCGACAGAGTGGCTCCCGTTAACAAGTATAGGGTCCGCAGAGCAAGCAAAAAGAACCGAAGACCAACTGGTGAGCCCATGAACGGTCCTCAAATGAGAGCAGAGGGAGAGAGCCCTCGATCAAAGTAGATGGCCCCTGAGCATCGAGTGTCTCCGTGCCTTACCTTATAAAAGCCCTGGCAACAGCACAAGGTCCTCCAAGCAAGTAGGAAGAGCCGGAGACTTAAATGAAGGGCCCCCGAGCAACTGAGTGTACCCTGGCATTTGGCGCCTGGAAAAAGCGCAAAAAGCATTTCGGGTGAATTGGGACAATCCGTGGAGGAAAACCTGATTGATCAACAGTGCTCAGGCATGGAGGCAGATAGTGTTCCAACAGCACATTGGACCTTACGAGAAAATGCAAAGAGACCAAGGGCAACGTGGAAAGCTCCTTAGCGATCAGATTGACACGGCAAGTGAACATGTATGGTCAGGCAACCAAGCGCAATGAATTCCAAAGTTTCCCCCAATTACCACTTTCTCAGTGAGCAAAAAATGAGATTGGTCTGCTTATAAACTCTGTTCTTTTGCCAACAGCTGTTCTTGGTCGTCTGTTGGCGCAAAGGCTTCCAGTTTTGTTGCATTTTTGTTGTAAGAGAACTGCGTCCGTTCGGCCGGTTATGGGCCTCTTTGGAGCCTTTAGGTCCTCTCAGCATGGTCCATGGGGCATGGTCCCGTGCCCCCCTCCCCCCCCCCCCCCTCCTCCTCTGCATCCGCCGCCGGCCCGAGCATCGCTCTGAACGATCGAGTGGGCCCGGGCAGGTTAACATATATGGGCCTCCATCAAGAACGTAGAGCCTTCCACTCAAATGCGAAGTACCCAAGACTCAATGTAGAGGGCCCCCCAATGATCGAGTGTGCCCGAGCAGGTTAACAGATAAGGCTCCCAAAAAGAACGTAGAATTCTCCATTCGAATTCTCCGTTCGAATGGGAAGCACCGAAGAACTTATGTGAATGGTCAAAGAGCGATAAGATGTGCCCGATCAGCCTTTCGGAAGGGGCCCAAGAAGAACACAAGGCCTTCCATTGAAATAATAATTACCCAAAACCCAGTGGGGAGGGCCCCTGACAGATAGAGCATACCCAAGCAGATTATCAGGTGGCCCAGACAGGATTGTAGGGCCCCAAGTTCAAACACCAAGACCCAATGTGCAGGGCCCCGGACCGGACAATTCAGTGTGGCCGAAGCGGCGAACAGATAGGGTCCCCGACAAGTACGCAGGGCCCTCCATTTAGATAGGAAGTGCCCAAGGCACTATTTAGAGGGCCCCTGGATATTCCAGTGTGCCCGAACAGGTTTGAACAGATGGGGCCCCGGCAAGAACGTGCGGCCTTCCGGTCAAATATGAAATGCCCACGACACGATGTAGAGGGCCCCGAACAATCTAGTGCGCCAGAGCAGGTTGATGGATAGGGTCCCCGAAAAGCGCGGAGGGCCCCTCCATTCAAAAAGGAAGTACTCAAAAACACATAAAGAGGTTCCCCACGATCGAATGGGCTCAAGCATCCTATCAGAAGGCCCGCCCCCTGACAAGAGCGCAAGGACCTCCATTCAAATAAGATGTACCCAAAAATCCGGTGCGGAGGGCCCCCGAAAGAAGAAGTGTACCCGAACAGGTTATCAGATGGCCCGGATCGGCGCAGAGAGCCCCTAAATTCAAACACGAAAAACCAATGTGCAGAACCCCCGAGCAATCCAGTGTGACCAAAGAGGCGAACAGAGGAGGCCCCTGACTAGCGCCGAGGGCCCCATTCAAATAGCACGTGCCCAAGGCCCAATGTAAAGAGCCTCCGAACGATTGAATGTGCCCGATCAGTTTGTCAGATAGGCCCCCTCCAGAGCATAGGGCCCCCCATTAAGAAAAGAAGTACCCAAAGCCCAGTGTGAAGGGTCTCCGAACGACTGGTGTGCCGAATCAGGCCATCAGATGGACCCCGAGAAGAGTGCAGGGCCCCAAGCAAGTGACAGAGAATTGGAAACGCCCTAAACCAATGAAGAGGGCCCATAAGCATATCGCAAGTGTGTCGGTAGGTTAACTGAGATCTACGTAAAGGGTCCCGGAGTGACCGAGAATACCCCGGCAAGTTAAGATAAGGGGCCCCGGCTATAGCCCACAGAGCCTTTCTGGCGTATGGAAAAAAGCACGTGGAAGGGCCCGTGATAAGGGTGCCCCGGCACGCTAGCAGGAAGGACCCTAACAACAGCGCAGGGCCCCCTGAGCAAGTGCAAAGAAAAAGAAAGCAATGTGGAATGCTCCTGAACTATGGAAATGATCCTACAAGTGTGCATGTAGGTCTCCCAGAAACAGCATGGGCCCCCTAGACAGTGTAATGAGGCCGAACATTTCCAGTTCATAACTTTTCTTACCATTGATTTTTATTTTATTTCTTACAGGCCCTTCACTTTCGCTTACACTGTTCTTTGTCGTCTGGAAGGCCAGATATATCCAGTTTTGTTGCGTCTTGTGTTAAAAAACTGCATCTGTTGGGCCGGCGATGGGCTCCCACAGAGCCATTGGGCTCCTTCGAGGCCCCTTCGGGCCCAAGGGGGGGGGGGCATCTCTGGATCCGGCCCTGACTACGCACACAAGTAGTAGGGCATGAAAATGTTTTAACTGAGCTTTACGAATTAGTGGGGTATAGAATGGACAGCTGTCGTCTCTTTTGTGATAATTGGGCTCGTTTTTCACCACCGCCGCGACGCTGCTGAGGCTCACAATGAATGGCGTTCCGGCTCGGTACGTTGGCCGAACTGGGAATGCTCCGGCTCCATGTTTCTTGGCTGAGGTGCGTGGATGGGCGTGCGGTCTCTGGATATGTTTAAGGCAGTGCCAGGCGGCACCTCGTTTAGAGGTATGACATTCCGGTCAAGAAAGAATAGTCGCGTGTACTCTCAACCAGAATTCCAGCCCCCTGATCTCGTGTTCTTTTAGAGCGTTCTGAAGGTCCTTGCTCAGACTGAGGGACAGACGTGACATCTTCCCACTTTCCGTCAGTGACTGCCAGGACTTGAAGGCAACGAGGTCTCATGGGGAGGGGAGTGAGGTGGGGTGTGGTGGGATGGGGGTGGGGGTGGGGAAGGGGTAGGGCGCAACTTCACTCGTTCGGTCACTCGTTCACGGCCCTGCATGAGGCTGACCAGAAATATGGTGATCGTTGGTATACGACGAGTATGTCAACCATGGAAACCGTGGGTACATATGCTATCTATCTCCAAGCTTTTACTAATTTATTGTAATCTAATGACTTGGCGGCCAAAAACACTTTTGGCTTGATATGTGGGGTGACTTTCTGTGAAAATGTATCACAATTTTAGAGTGGCATTTAATCAAGTTGATACCCTAGTAGCCTTTAATGTTAAACTATAGTTCAGCACTCGTTGCACTTTACCTGTATATGCATTCACACTGAACAATATACAGCATGCAACGCATAGCCGACTCAATACCCACTTCACTCTTAATGCAAGGGGCCACCAACATTTAGACTGGACACTTTCACCAAATTCCTCGGTTAAGTTCCTACTTATTCGTTCCTTAATTTCCTGTGCAAAAACCAACATTTAAACACCTAATCAAAGCAGCGAAAAGCGCTCTTGCTCTATTAGTCTATTCACTGCTCCGATCATTCATTGCTCTATTAGTCTATTGCTCCGAATAGTCTATTCATTTCTTGTACGTCGCCCTCTCTCTGTTTAACACGCTAACTTCGAAATTGAATTTTTCGGCCTCGTGCGCAGTCGCGTGCAGCTCAACGAACCTAAAAAGTGCCGACAGCCTGGGAGCGTATCTTCAATCAAGCATTGGGAAATGATTAAAAATCTACTGGATTAACCGGCTAACCAATTTCAGTTTAACGTCTTTGGCGATTTCAAGGAACAGCTTGAACTTGATATGTTTACTTCTTCAACCTTAAACTGTATGTTGTCTCACCTCTGCTTATTTTCATCGGATTTCTTTCACTGCACGTTACATTCTGAGCAAACTTGTCCTTTTTCAGATTGTTTGCAAAAATTGCAGCACTTTAGGAAGCTCCGCCCATTGTGCCAAATAAGGCACAAGCTCCGGCGTTGGAATAACTCCACATGTGACACAAAAATAGGACTAGGGGATTTTTGGTTTGGCATGTAGCGTTTGAAGTATTTTTTTCAATTTTTATTAATATTTATTAGGTTTTCATCACACTTGATCTTCTTTCTTGAAATGATGAAAAATATTTTTGTTAATTAATGGCAACCCCGCTGGAGGCCTTTTGATTCCGGTGTTGGCCGAGATGGGTGAGAGCAGTGTTTTTGTTGTTGAATTACCCCGGTTTGTGTTCATTAGATGAATGCTGACCGTAATCAGGTCGATGAAATTTTGCTCTACCGACAGAGAAGCTGCCCATTGCGGTTGATTTTTGTTTTTTCACAAAATCGGGCTGTTTCGGGGCGTTGTGAGGCTGTGGCGCGATTCGGTAGCTTGGACGGCACCTGACTGAGCCGCGATTTTTAAAGGCAATTGCTATGGATGTTGTTAGATACCTTGATGCCTTGGTAGTGTAGATGGGCTTCGAGGCAAAACTTGCACCACTCTTGTTCACTGGAGCTGGTCATGGCTGGCTTCTGCTGATCGTTTGCCAGTCTGCCAAGCATGCATCCATCGCACTTCACACATTTGGGACATTACTGTGCTGAATGCTGTGCTCATTTGTGCTTTACTGAGCAAGGGAATATTGTGCAAAAGTAGTTTCTAGAAAGTATGTTTTCAGGGTGTTCTTACCTCTGTCTACATCAGAATTCCTGAGATACATGGCTATCTATGTGCTCAAGTTGGTAGTGACCTGGCACAAAGTACTGAGTTTGGATTCACAGTGTACATCCAAATATTGCAGAAAAGTTGTAGGTATGACACATGTGTTGTGCAGCATGGTTATTTCAGGGTCTGCCTCACTGATTCTAGTCACCTGTTTATGCACAGATAGATTCGCAGGGATGATACTGTATGATTTTTTGTGAGTGGCATGTTGTCCTATTCACCATGCAATGCTTTATGGCCCAAGACTTGATCATGATACAAATAGACACCTGGCTCAGTAAATAAGACCATTCCATGGTGATTTGTGCTATGCAGTGTTGGCATTTATTTTTATTTGCATGTAAGATCATGTAATTTCCCTTTGTTATGATTATTGTTGGTGTCTTACTGTAAAGATGTCTTAAAACCAGTTTTGTCCCATCAGGTTGTTTTGAATGGTGATTGTTGTGTTGCTTGCCCAATATTTTTAGGGGATCTGCAAGCTCCATAGCAAGTACCTGTAACAGGATGTCCCATACAACAGTGGCAAACATAAACCTGACACCAACCTGTACTACCAATTTTTATGATGTTCAGAACCTAAAATTTCTTCAAGCTGCTTATGCAATGGAATCACTGCAATCTGCATTATATTATGCTTGTATTGATGCCCATCATTGACTGGGAACCATCCTTGCATCAAAGTTGGAATTTCTTATTGATTAGGTGGTCATTGATTGGTGGACATAGCAGGAAAGCATGACATTTAGTTAAAAAAACTTGTGTGCTCATATCAAAGCTCATTGAGTGAAGCATCTACCTCTAGATTGAATCACAAATGGTAGGATTGGCTGGAGTTTTTCAGGCAATTGCTATTTGCTCTTGGCTGTGGTGAGCTATGGCCAGTGGTAGTGGCTGCTGTAAATGTTTTGCGTGAATTGAGAGCGATGATGTGCTGTGCTGAGCATCGCAGAATGTTATACATTCAGCTACAGTGTGTGGGTGTGGGTGTGGTACAGTGTCTTAAGTAAGCACAAGCTGTCATATCGTGTGCCCATTGTTTATCCCATGTTCTGACAGAAACAGTGTAGGTTTGTTAACAAATAACACATCCTAGCTGACAGACTTTATGTGTTGGGTTGATGTCTTCAAATGCTACAGTCTTGTGGAGCTGTGTGTTTGAATGCCATCCATATTTTGAGCTAGCACCAGGGGCATTGATACAGTACTTAAATTGTTTAGTGTCAGCTCCATTGGGAAGGGCTATGCTGAGAGAGCTCAGCATTTTAGTCTTAATATGTAAGCAGTAGGCTACCTGTCTGACAAGGGTAGATTGGTTTTATTTGTTCCACTGCTCTTAATTCCTACATGTTTGCCCAGCAAATGCGGTTCTGATGGGAAACACTATGTGGGGGGCAGAGGAATGCTAGCTGATATGTGTGGAGACATTGTTCATTGTCTGTTCATTGTCACACAGATGTTCAAGGTTCTTGATCTTTGTTTCAGGTATCACTCGTAACAATTTGCATAAACGTCGAAAGACTGGGGGGAAACGCCCTGTCACCAGAAAGAAGAGGAAGTATGAGTTGGGACGGCCTGCATCTAACACCAAGGTTAGTGTGGGCCTGGTGTGATGTGGGGTTTGAAATGCAGTGTACTTGAACCAGTTCAGTGGAACTTCCTCAGCTTGAATGAAATATTTGTCATGTCAAGTCATGTGGAAAGACAAAATTCAAGTTTGTTGCACTAGGGTTCCCTTCATCACTTATATCCTGCTTCAGGGCAGTGACAAGTTCACTTGCTATTGAGACTTTATTTGTGATGAGCAACATCAAAGATCTTGATAAGGGTTTTGTTGTAGCAGTATTGTTTGTGAATGTTGGGGAAGCAACAGTAATCAAGTGGCAAGGGATGATTTTGAAGTGGCATATTGTGTGGAAACATCCTGCTTCTTCCTGCCACAGTTTGCATGCTGTGGATCACAGCTATGTAAAGCTTTTTCACTGTTCACTGTTCCCTTAGAATGTAATTGTAATTGGTTCCCATTGTGAACTCCAGGGAAGGAATGTGTTGCTTTTCGGAGTTTTAAAATTTAGTCTGTATCATTGCTTCTTCTTTTCTAGCTGGGTGCAAAGCGCATTCCACACGGTGCGCACACGCGGTGGCAACGTGAAATATCGGGCCTTGCGCCTGGACCACGGCAACTTTGCCTGGGGCTCCGAATCATGCACCCGCAAGACCCGCATCATTGACTGTGTCTACAACTGCACAAACAATGAGCTGGTGCGCACCAAGACCCTGGTGAAGGGCACCATCATCATGGTGGATGCGGGACCCTTCCGTCAGTGGTACGAGTCACACTACGCACTTCCTCTCGGCCGGAAAAAGGGCCAGAAGTTGGTGAGTACTCCGTCGTTAGTATTGACACCACCTTGGGTCATTCTGCTTGTGTTGATGTTTTCATTGTGGTAGATTGTTTGATGGCTGCCATGCTGTTGCCATGTCACAAAGTAATGCCACAAATGGGGCAGTGGTAAGTTGCCAAAAGTCTGTATAGGGCAGCCCGTTTCATACCTGGCCATGCGACAAGGCTGTCATGCTAAGACATTTTATTTCTTGGAAACCTAGCTTGCACCCATATTTAGCTCTGGGTAGCTCTTTTATTTGCTGTTTTCCAAGACAATAGATCTTGCAGGCAGGTCAAGATCAAGAGATCTTGTCACGGCTTATGTGTTTTATGTAACTGGCTCAATATTGAACCCCACTAGGGGAGGTCAAGAGCTGATTTTGCCCTGAAAATTGGAAAATGTTTCATCTCTTCATGCAGTCATTTACTAAACCACACCATATAAAAGTGTGAAGTTGACACAAATCCCTGACACAGGCCCATGTCCAATTTTAAACATTGATATATCAGTATACACACTGACCACATCATTGGTCTGGGCTTTTGTGTTCTGAACATATCTGCCATCCAAAGGCAAAAAGGCCAAAGGATTCATGTAACATTTAAGCCCTTTTAACTTTGGATGGGATACTTGAGGGTGTAGGACTCCGCTGATAAAGCGATGTAGTCCCCGCCGCCTGTCATCGCACACTCGTCTATTGCGGAACGTCGCTCACGTAGTCTGTCCTTTGCCATCGCAGCACATCACCTTGTAGTTTTGATATGAAAACATTGTTATTCAGTAAGTAGAGATGTTAGACATATGTTTGTAGAATCAACATGTATCATGAATTCTGAGGAGATGAAAATATGGGTGCAGGTGTGTATCATGCTGAAGAAATGTCAGGACAAATTTAGGGAGTGACGTCGCCCATTCCCTCTCCCCCCCCCCTCCCCTCCCATATTCTTCAGAGGGAGGGTTAAATATCGTAGCCCACATCAAGTGGATTATTTGCGCGAATAATCAACATATTAAAACTTCGATGTCCCGCCGCTATCAGACTCCTGAGGAGGATGCTGTCCTGAACGCCAAGCGGTCGGCGAAGACTGAGAAGAAGTACCAGGAGCGGCAGAAGGCTGGCAAGGTAGACCCGTCGCTGGAGGAGCAGTTCCACACGGGCCGCCTGTACGCCCGCATCGCCAGCCGGCCCGGACAGTGCGGCCGCTGCGACGGTTACATCCTGGAGGGACGGGAGCTCGAGTTCTACTCCAAGAAAGTGCGGGCCCGAAAGTAGAACCTGTCAGCGACAACGGAAAAAATATACCTGGAAATGGGCGATTCAGAGTCGTTTCATTGATATATACATCTGGGTTTGGGATGGGACACTTTGAAAAGAGGGTACCGTGGCCTAAGGTGAGATAATTGTTTCGACGCCTGTATTCTGGAGAAGCTAGCCTGTGTGTAGGAAAACTGGTTAGCCCACTGTTGGAAATGATGTAAATTTTTGTTACATGAATTTCACGGCCTATGTTCCCTTGAGTACCAATTATTATTATGCTATGGCCATGTGTGGCGGTTCCTGTGTCGCGATGGCGTGGATTACTTTGGCTCCAATCCTGCGTTCACCTTGTAGTTTGGAGCCTTTTTTAGATAACTAAAGTGCTCGCCTTTGCCACGGATGTTGGCGTGAGCATGGTGTATAGCCGTTCCACGGTGATAATGCATGGATGAACATATGCTCTGCAACTGATAATTTGGCCAACATTGCAAGGCGCCTGGCTTTCGGACACCATTGTCCACGAATTGGATGCATACCGAAGTAGGAGAGGTCCCAGGGAAACAGTGTGGTAGATCACCATGCTCTGTTGTGAGCGTGGTGGATGTGTGCTGGTGCCGGCTGTCTGTTTCACCAGGTGGAGTGGATGGAGCGGCCGTGCGTCCTCGGTGTCGAGTTCTGCGAAGGTCGTGGCTGGTCCTTCGATGGCTGCTCTACTCAGCATTCAAATGGTGGGCAAGGGTTTAGGATGCTAACTGCTTCAGCTATTGTGAAATGATGCTTCCATGTGTGCCAACTGATTCTAACGACTCCCAGACATCTCAACTGACTTGTGTCAGAGAAAATGCCATCTGATCATGTTGTTTCAAGCAAATTGGTTTCCTTGGCTTCTGAGCTGCCTTGGCCCCAGTGATCCATGCATTGAATGTGTTCATATAATTTGATTTTTTTATGTTTGTCTCACTTATTTGTGTGCATGGCATGTCCAAATCGGACCATTCAGAATGAAGACATTGTCCAAATTTTCCATTCAATAAATGGGTTGTTACAATTGTCATGGCACAACAGGAACAGCCTCAACATGAGCAGTATGGCACATTTGTACTATGCCTGGTGTGCCACAACCAACAATTTGCAGTTGTTTGTGCTGGAGTGGGGGGGGGGGGGGGGTTGAAACTGCTTATTGTCGTTCTCACGGTTCGCCGATTCCCAGTGACATACCGTACCCATCTGCAACGTGTTTAGCCCACGCAAAGGTTCTTAAGTACTGTGCGTTTGGTTTCAGACGTCCCTTGGCGCGATTGCGGCATATTTTCGTGTGATCGCCGAACCTGAACGGAATCTACGGCCGCATACCATTGAAGGCAAGCATACCGAGCTAGAACGTATTTTTGTGAGCCGTTTGCGTGGTTATCTTGTATCTATCTTGACGTATCTCCGAAGCTCTGCGTGCAAAGACAAAACCACATGTCCCTATGTCAACATTGGAAAACGACGTGCACCATGGTGTCTTGAAGTGGGACGTATCTATTCCTCCCATTGTACCAGATGTATTGTTTTCCCCTCAGAAAAGCTGATGTGGCTTTATTTTGTATGTAGGCTGTTTCACCATCAGCCGCTGGCATGCCTTCGAACCGTCAGTTTGCGTGCGAACTGCAATAGTGCTCTTGTAAATGATGCTTTCATGCGTGTCATCTGATTTCCGATGATCGACGCCTAACATAAACTGACCTGAACTAGCTTCACTTTTGTCAACTATTTTTTCGAACTTCTGACAATCATTTGTTTGCAGGCACTGCCTCCGGGAATCGCGAAAGTTCGATGACGCTATCTTGCGGGAGGGAGGTGACAGAGTAAGTTGACTTCGCTTTCATTGGTGTGAAGTGTTTGGCCGGCCGATTTTTACGGGCTTATCAACAATACCCTGGTCAAGCTACATGTCTGAGAAACCGGAGAGCCCCGTGGCGCCCGCCCCTTGTGCCGGCATGAGAGGCAAGCAACACCACATAGCCTCAGAAACTGAGTGCGTTGTAAGGCCCCAATGACGACGACGCCGGAGAATGTCCAAGATGTATTCATGGATGACGTTTCCATGCGTGTCATCTGGCATCGGCGATCGGTCCATAAGATTTCACGAGCGAAAAGACTGGATATCAAGAGTACGAGCCTGCCTGCATTCTGGTTTAGCCCACCCATTGGCCTCTTAAGGGCTTCGTGTGAAGCCCCATGTGCAAAGACAAAACCACATGCCACAATGCCGGACAATGCAGAAACGCGCACAACACGGTTTCTCGAACTGCGACACGTACGTGTTTGTCCCATTGAACCAAACGTAGCGTTTTCGTGCGGTGAGGGATAACGTGGCCTTTGTTTTGTGTGCAGAACCGGACAGTGTACGTGTAAATGATGCTTTCATGCGTGTCATCTGATTTCCGATGATCGATATCAAAATATAAACTGACTGGAACTCTCCTGCTGACTCAAGAGAACCATTTCTTCAAAACACTGACACAACCATTTATACTTAGGTGTTGCGCCCAGGAATTGGACAACATCAATGATCCTGCTCTTTAGGAGAGAAGTGATGGTGAGTGGACGCAGTTTAAATGTTTGGTGTACTGTATGACTGCGTGCTTTTGATGTAGTCATGGCAAACGCCCAACATTACTCATGATGTTTTCATGCGTGTCATCTGACATCAGTGATCGACTCATTCAATTTTGCTGATGAAAGAGACGTCTGTGGAGATGCCCGTGGTTAGTCAGGATACCCACAAGACTCTGTTTTCAGCACCGGCTTGTGGAGAGGGGAATCCTCGATAGAGCTCCTGTGATGGGAACCTGCAGCTTATTCAGGTATTAGGAGTGTTCTGGGTTAATTGGTGTAGTGTGGCTATTCTGCAAAATCCGTCATTTGTGTTGTCTTTGTCTCCTCTTTTTTCGGAATGGTGCGGTGCATTGCTGTGACGCATTTTGTTGCAATTGCAATTTGGATAGTGTGACTTAGCAGCTAGCAATCATGCATGGATGTCGATAGTGCAGTGGTTATCATGCCTGTGTTACCAATCGTGTGGGAAACCAGAGGTACAGGGCTTGGTGCCCAGCGGTTCCCGCCCTTCGTGCTAAGATAATAGACGGGCAACTCGTAATAGCCCATACAGCCGTGTGCGTCGTAAAGCCCACAATTATTCATGATGAAATGTTTGTAACCATCTTTCGGGGCTGACACCTGATGGATTTTTTCTACTCTGAGCTGTTTATTGGTTTGCCGCAATTGCTGCCAGTCCCCATGTAGTTAGTTGTTCTTTCGTTTTTGCAGGTGTGGAGGACCACGGGATAGAGCAGAACTGTCAAACCAAGGTTGGTACTGAGGTGAATGTCGCTGTTGTACCAGGTGTTGATGGCATGTCGATGTTTGTTATGCTTCCGCTGTGTGCTTTTTTGGATTATCTTTGTTTTTCAACTGGGTCAGTGTACTTTTGTTTGGATTGTTACATGCTCAGGGAAAGTTTGCACTGCTCCCTGAGGCTAGGTTTTCTACCTGCTGACTTCTAGTGGTCTAGCCCTTCCCCCCCCCCCCCCCCTAGTAAAATTGTGATAGGTTAGCAGTGCATGACAGTGTTGCGCGGTCCACAAGCTTGATGTAGGTGTTGATATTCAGCCTTACTGTCACAATGATGAAACCTTTTTACCATCTTTCGGGGCTGATACCTGATGGATAAATACCTGTCTGAGGTGTTGACAATTCCTCATGTCCTGTTTGCTTTTCTTCAATTCACGGGATTTCTCATTTCAGTACCTTGGCAGAAGTGATACACGTTGGACAGGCACCACGCACATAGTAAGGTATGTGTGTTTGAATGCTCCAAATTATTCGTGGCGGAGGTGGCGCGGAAACGCTCCTCTGTTTGCTAAATGCTGGAAGTCCTTTTTTAACATGTAATGCAACTGATTGGTGTCCAGTCGTATCCATGCCTTCTAGATGTTCTGTTCCCTAGTTAGTTGACCCCGGTGCGTTTGTTTAAACGTGATGATTCTCTTTACCATCTTTCGGCTGACTGAATGATGTACCCATATTGTCCTGACGCCCCCTTTTCTTCTCCAGTGTTGTGATGGATTTGAAAATACTGATCATGCACTGCCTCCCGCAGATCGATGTTCTGTCGGTTCTGGATCCTCAACCGTAGTAAAGGTGAGCCAACATCACGCGCGCCTTCCCAGAGGCAGTGCCTTGTTGAATTTTGTTTTTTGTTTGTCCGGCAACTGTCCTCCGGTTGCCAAAAAAGATCATGGTATGTTCCGTTTGGGGGCATTCCACACTTAAACCTGGTAACACGTTCTCGAGGCATGTCATAGATGATGTCAAATCAATTACCATCTTTCGGCTGATCAACAGTGATGGATCAATCTTTGTCTGACGCAATAGTCTTGTCACCCTCAGACACTTACCATATGTGGTAGTAACTCGGTGGTATTTCAGGCTCAACCAGACGCTTAGCAACTTAAGTTCCTGCGGCTGTGCTCTACAAGGTGAGTGGAGATGGTACCGGACGGGTTCGCGTCTAAATGATCACAATATTTCGGTTATTCATGTCCTGCTCCGATTCGACATATGCTGCAAAGAACGTGTGGGTCGATAGTCTGCGTACTGTATCGAAAGGGGTGCCAAATGAGCCAAACGATTTTGTTACTGCATCAAGTGTCGTGATTTTCGTCGTGATCCTTAGCAGCGTTACCAACGCGTGACTGAAATGCTGCGAGTTTATTAACCACCTTTCGTCTGGTCACCAGTGACAGACCAATTCCGCTTTGAAGTCCTCATTGCGTTCCCCGCAGTTGTTCAGCATATCGGGGTATTTACGCTTGATGGTATTTCAGTAACCGGCTCCGACGTGCTGAACATCGACAGCTGCTCGTCGACCTTCGGTCAGTAAGTGGGACGGAGCACTCTTGGCTAGCATATTAACATATGCATTTAACGGCGAGTATATGTACATGATGATCACAAATCCCTGATTCCGCATATGCCGTTCTGGCTGTCGTCGGGATTTCATGAGGGTCTTTTCA